ATACATGAAGATGAAAAGAAAGCCCATTTAGTCTGCATATGAGAGTGTACTGAAATAATACAGCTAATTCTTAAGATCTGGGGTGTCATAAAGCCTGAGATTACAGTCCCAAAATAGAAGGGTTTTCAAAAAGCTCCTGAAATAAAGAGATAAACAAACTGTATATTATTGTATCCTTTATGCCCCCAACTTGTAGAAAAAGTCATAAAATTAATTTAGCATTTGCTAATCAAAATTTATTTATGAAGGAGAGCACTGTTAATAGGAGAATGAAATCTGATCAACAAATATTTACCAAGTACATTCAAAATGCCATCATTCAAAAAAAATGCCATCATTCATCTTAGGGTATATGTGTCTTAGGAGAGATTGAAGTTTTGAGACATATTCAACTGGAAAATCAAATCCATGAGATCAGCAAAAGTGAGCTTCTGATTTAAATAAAAGTGACAGCTATCATTGTGAGAAAAATGTTGCTCTACTGAAAAGTTTCCCAAGAGCTTGTTTCATGTCCCTGTTCCTTAGGCTGTAGATAAAGGGGTTCAGCATGGGTGTGACCACTGTGTACATGAGAGCTACAATAATGTCCTTGTCAATGAAATTGCTCAATGTTGGAAAAAGGTACTGCCCAAATATTGCCCCATAGTACAGAGACACCACAGAGAGGTGGGAGCCACAGGTGGACAAGGCTTTGCAGATGCCCTTGGATGAAGGGATTCTCAGGATGGTGGCCCCAATGCGGCCATAAGATACTAGGATACATACAAATGGCAGGGTAATGACCACCACCCCTGCTGTGAACATGACCAACTTATTGACAAAGATGTCTGAGCAGGACAGCTTGAGCAGGGCAGCTAGGTCACAGAAGAAATGGGGGATGGTGTTAGCAGCACAGAAGGATAACCGGGTCAAGAGGAGGGTGTGGCACAGTGAGCTGGCACAAGACAGGATCCAGGACACAGCCACTAGTAAAGCACACAGTTCTTCCCTCATGATGGTGGTGTAGTGAAGAGGGTGACAGATGGCAACATATCGGTCATATGCCATTGATGTAATAAGGAAGCTGTCCAGGTCAGTGAAAACTATGAAAAAATACATTTGTGAAATGCACCCTGTATATGGGATGGATTTGTACTTAGTCTGCATGTCCACCAACATCTTAGGGATGGTGACAGATGAAAAGGAGACATCAGTGAGGGCCAAGTGGCTGAGAAAGAAGTACATGGGCGTGTGCAGGCGAGCGTCCAGCCTGATGAGCAGGATGATGAGCAGGTTTCCCAGCACCGTGGTCAGGTACATGCCCAGGAACAGGGCGAAGAACACGCCCTGCTCCTCGGGCCGGATGGGGAGTCCTTGCAGGAGGAACTGGGACACGCCACTCTGGTTCTCAGGCCTCATGCTGCACTTGTGTCTGCTGGGGATGAAGAATGGTTGAGAGTATTAAGGACTTTGAAATAACCATTTATAGCAGTCATATGAAAATATTTTTTATTTCAGATCCTGGGAAACTTGTTCTGTTTCTTATATGTTTCTTATATATTGGCACATAAGGGAATTAGAAAAATTGTTGATGAGGGAATGCTAATGAGAGCCAGCTTTTCTAGGTTCACAGAGAAAATAGAATTCTTGTGTCTATGGCACTGAGGACCAGATCATGGAATATGATGTCTCAGCCAGGTTATTGCCCCAAGTATGCTCTGTGGTGAGCACTCCAAATCATCAACCATGGCATAGCCACCTTTAGAAGGCTTGACTTCAATACCCATTGTTAAATTGCAGGTGAGAGGTGAACTTTTCAAGTAAAAGGATGCAAAGAAAGGTATTGTATTCTTTCAAGAAAACTCATCAATGTACATACATTTTTATTTATTTCAATTCAGTAAAGGATCCTTAAGATACTCTGGATTATGTTAATTCATTCTCCCCAGTGCAGTGAGGAAGATATTTTGGAAGTGTAAGAGGCCTTCCTGAAACTCCTGGCTTAACCACCTAAACAGTTCGGGAATGCTTAAAATCTGGCTGTCTACGCCTGGTTTTCTATGTCAGGATCAAAGCAAGTAGAAGTGCCTTCTTGAAAGACTCTGCTTCCCTGTATCTCTATCTTTACTTCTTGGGTTGCTTTTCTTTTTTTTTTTTTTACCTTTCTTTCTTTCTTTCTTTCTTTCTTTCTTTCTTTCTTTCTTTCTTTCTTTCTTTCTTTCTTTCTTTCTTTCTTTCTTTCTTTCTTTCTGTCTTCCTGTCTATTTCTTCACTTTATTTTTCTCTCTTTTTTCTCCTTCCTCCCATCTCACTCTCTCTGCCTCTGTATCCTCATTCTTCCATTACTCTGTGTCTCTTTTCTCCTCCATGCCAGAATCAGCTCTCTAATTCTTCCTCTTGTATACCTATTTAAAAAAACCTATATATTGCTGAGAAAAAGCAATGCTCATTCCATTTTTAATACTGATCTTACCTTCATTTATGATTCAGTGTTTGGTGGGTAAGTGTGTCCAGAGGTTCTCTTTAGGGAACCTAAATATCAGCTTCCAAGGTCCTCGACATTTCCTGAGCATCCAAAAGAAAAGCTACGAGCTCAGACTCTCACTTCTGCCTACCTGGCCTAGATCTATGAACCAAAGAGTATAACTAACCAAGGAGAGAACCCTAGGGGGTAGGGAGCAGGACTTGTAATTTCCTGTTAAAGACATCCATCAGACTTGGATTAATTGCCCAACGTTCCCCCTTGGTTCCTTTGGAAAACATGTCCTGTGAGAGCAATGTTGTGCTGGGAAACTTAGAGAATGAGCCCATAGAGGTCTCGAGGCGCTGCTTTCCCAGCCTTAACCACACTTTGGCAGAGGATGAACTCCGGAAAGGTTAAAAAACGAGAATTACGGACTCCGACCAGATCCAAATAGAAAGCCAGGCGACTGAATGGCCTCTGAGAATTTAGGTAGAACCCTATCCCACTCAAAGGGATCTCACTGGGCACCTACCCACCAGGTAACCCAAAGGAAATGACTATGTTTCTTCTCCCTGGTGATCATTGTGAAATACAAAGTGGAAGGAGGCTTGAATAGTCATATTTTTTTTGGAGGTTTTATTCCTTTTTTGACAAACTTTGGTTTGGTTACATCAAGTAAAAGTAGTTTTCAAGGAAGAAAGAAAAG